GACCGTGATAGAGGACTTAACAAAACACATTACATGTTTCTTGTCTGGTTGTCTTTTCACGGAATCACGCATGTACAAGTTGACGGATAGTTCCGTTCGCCGACCACGGACAGTTACTCTTCCGGAAAAACAGCATTCCTTTATGAAATAGAGCATTGCTTCAGGTCTATTCGTTTCGCAGAAGGACAATCCTTTGTTTTTAGTATCCGAAGGCAGTTTTTGTATGCATGGCAAACACCCATGTTGTGCAAAATATTTCAAAAAAAAGCAATAACGACCTTTTTGCAATCATACCCCCGACTATAGAAAAAAACAGATGTCGGAAGCAGAAAACCTTGTCTGACAGTCAAACTATACAGAGCGCTTGGTCTCAACTGATTAGTTTAGCTCGCACATTTATACTTTTGCGGTTAATCGATAAGTTTACTGCAAAATTTCAAAAGGGCTAAAATGAAAATATGGGTCTAGATAAACAAAGCACTATGATGAACTAAACTCCTAAGACTGGATGCAATAATTCATGATTGCTCAATTCTTGATAATATTCTCAAATTTTCAGTGGCAAAAACTATTCAGGCAATCGGGCTCGGGAGGTAAACTAGAAATGTGAAATCCACATAACTTCTCTCGGAATTAACAACATTCCAGTGCTTATATGGTGCGAAACAACATGGAGACATCCTACCCCATATCAATTCCAGCGGCAGAAATCGCTATCAGTGCCATCTACTGTCAAGATCTCATTATCTCAACAGCGCAATGACAGTAGTGGAACGGTGAATCGACGTGAGCGACAAGAGAGCAGCAGACGAAACGCAGAAGCCTGTACATGAGTTTCAAAAAAGCCACTACTAGTAGCATGAGTTTGGACAAAATGGGTTGACTGATCCAACAGCTCGTATGGTTAATTCCCGTGAAATACCAGCTATTGAAACCAACACGACTGTTTTGTAGTACAACAATTAAACAAAGACACAATTTGGTAAAAATGAAAATACTGAAGGGAAACTCCAACACACAAAAATAACAAGTGTACGACGAAACAAAAAACAGATTTTGTTATTATTTCAATCAACTGGGAATGTTTAATTTCCATGCTGCTCTGTTCTCTGTTCTCTGTTACCGGATACGCACGTCTGACGAGCGGCAAGAACCGCGAAACCCGTCGTGTGCTTCCAGGGAAATTTTGTCCAGTCATTCACATACTACTTATTATCAAATATTTAACCAATACCATCAGGTCACGTTTTTTGCGGTTAGTAGCATCTAACCCACTTACAAAACATCGAATAATAGCATTGATTCTTCATTGGACTGGCTCTGAAAGAGCTGTCTAGCCAATGGTCACCCGGTGTTGCAAACAAGGTTATTGTGACCGCGTCCTTATTACACACCTGTGTGATGAACAGCAGACCTCGTAGTCAAGAAGATCTGCTGTTCTGTGATGGGAACCGGTAAGCTAAGCCCCGGGACTAGGAGTGGCGAACCACATAAGGCCCCGCTAGGTTAAGCGTGCGATTGAACCGGACGGTATCAAAACTGTCTATGACTTTCGTGCGTCTAGGACTCAACGAACTTAAAAGAACGACTTTGACGGTCGCATGTCCTATCTTACTGGAAAGGTTCATGGAAAGACGTTAGATAAAGCTCGGTCGAGGGCTCTGATTAGTGTTCCTTGAGAAAAACGAAAATTCCTGTTGCTTTGTGGACATCTGATTCAAAGACGACATCCATGGAAAAACCCTTCCTTCATGTGGGCAGCCTCAAAGCCTACCAGGTTTCAAACTCCCAGGTATGCAGTTGAGAAAAACCCGCTTTCCCAATTGAACTGAAAACCTTGGTACTAGTGTGACAGAATTTCTTCCGGCCATGCTTGAAGATGACCTGTGGGTCAATGAAACAATCACCGCATCTAGCCTTTGAAAAAATACCATTTCGAAATTTCGATATGGTGTTACACAAGAAACTTAAAGTGAAAAAATCGGTGGGAGACGAAAATGATTACAATGTTACAATCATGGATCATCATTGATTAATTAGGCAAATAAAAATGAACAGTTCCAAAAAGTCACACTATAACAGATTAGTTCACCTTGGTGGGCACTCGAATATCTACTTCGCCCAAGGTTTGGAACCATCTATAGTTTGGTAAATCACCACCATTGCCTTCGTTCGGTCTAAGCTTTCCCTTATCTGCTTCATCCTCGTCTTCATCATCACCAGGGCCAACCTTGACTGGTTTAGGTAAATCAGCTTTTTCCAGCTCAGGTTTCTCCGGTTCGACCTCTGTGCTTGACGGCTGTGATTCAGTGGTTTCTGAGGTTTGATTGCCTGTAGAGAGCAGACGTGGAAATGGAACGAGTAGATTTCACCGTCAACGGGGCTGAAACTGAAAATATTTATTAGCAGTATAAATGTTGAATTGTTAATCACACTAATGCAGACTAAAAGAACGCGTAACGTACCGTTTGGCATATCATCGCCTTTCATGTTAGCCTTGATGGCCTCCTCGGCTCGTTCCGCACGACGTTTGCGCTCGCGATCTTCACGTTCCTGTAACTCTTCGCGTTCTTTCCTGTGCCGTTCTAGCGCTGAATCCTTTATTAAACAGCACAGTTGTGGAAACAGATGCATGAACGTTTTAGTCCCAATCTGAACACTGTGTATAGTATCTGTAGTTGCATAAACACCATTACAGTAGCTCTCACATATACTAGCACTCCAGTTGGTAGTCTGTCTGTTGAGTTGGGAGTGTTTTCATCATCGATTTAAAATTAACCAAGATGCAAAGGAAGCCCATGCACATATTCAGTGTTTGCTATCGGTATGATAAGGTTGCATCAATTGGTTGCTCAAAAAGGGCATGAAGTCGGCTAAAGGGACCCTTAATGCTTGAGAAATCTAAGTTATACAAACCCCATTGGTGAACCCATATGTAAATACCATGGTAAAGCTCTCTTAAGGCAAACCAAGAAAATGCGAACTCTCATAGCGGAATTCGGTCAGAGACCCCGCCCGGCCCCACCCTTTCTGAGTGTCAGTATCTCCAAGAGCCCCCCCCCTCCAAAAAACAGCCACATTCTGAAGGGTCTAATTTTAGATAACATTTTGATCACACCGATTTCAAGCTACCAATCAATCTGTAGTGGAAAATTTTGATTGTTAATTAATCTGCATTGGTTAAAAACGGAGATCTAAACTCTAACCTTTTAGAATCTGACTATTTGTGGCTCTCAGAGATACTGATAAGCCGATTTATCTGTAATTATTTTGCTATCTCCTTTTGTTAAATGCACTATCGAAGAACTTTCACGAAAGGGGAAACGGACTGTACTGCCAGTACTGCCATCCATTGGTGGAGGATTTGGAACACGCAACCTGATGTGAAGTGATGGTAATCAACACCGCTGGACTACCGATTTATTCAGTAGCAAAGTACATGCAAAACTAAAAAACTTATGTGTCTAGAATGCGACCAACGGTAAATGTGGAACGGGCAAACGATTATGTAGACAGAAATTCAAAGCACACTTGTCCTGCGATGAACTGATACGGGCTTACATATGTGAAACCGATGCATAATGACAACAAAACTGATGATGCGGTGGTAGCATAATGAAGGACGTCTAATCTTTGAGTCCTCGTTACCCGTTCGATCAACTTGTGCAACCGACAAGTCTCTGTATTCGTCCTCATTTGGGTCGATGGACTCGCACTGCAGACGAAACCCAATCAAATCGAAACGGCTGTCTGCACACAGCTTCCTAACATTTCAGGTCACACTTCATTTGCTCTGTACAAAACTAAATCCACTATTTAATTCAATCAAATCCTCCAATACTCTCATGGATTATTGTACAAAAGCCTCATCACGTCCCGTTCATTAGTGAACGTATAACTCTTATTGTTTTTATATCTATTTGATTGTGTACAGGAATGTGATGTTTTTCACGAACCCGTTGTATCAGTCTTGATTAGGCCGGTAGTGTTCGGCCTTTTCATCTAAGACATACATAAGTATGTATGTGGTTTGATATCACAGTCCAACTATCGGTGACATTGACATATAGCCACTAATTTCTCCCGTCGGTTCATTTCGAAGAACTTTGCACGACCTGCACGAATGGGTACCTTGGTCAGGGTCTTCGTAGCTATATGCTGGTCACCTAATAACCTGTTCGTCTCAACAAACAAATCAAATCATTAGTCACGGGTTTCGGATTAGTGCAATGCAACTGGAAAATTTGATGTGAACTGAGAGAACACAAGCCTTTCTTGAATACCACTTTTCAAACGGCCCAGATATTTCTTACGTTTAGTACCTCAGTGTAAGATAACATAGTGGGTCAAAAGTCATCATTTCGCCACACCGTGTAACGATTCCATGGAATGCAATAACGCAATAAATAATACAGTAATAGGTCGACCAGATAATCTTATCTCTGGAACATGCAGTGAAGTATACCAGGATTCAAACAAAGTGTTTAAAAATTATGCAGTGAGAAGAGAACAATGGAGATATTATACTGCCAAAACTCAGACACGTGCATACTAAGAACGGCTCAAAATACCACATACGAATGAGATAAAATAAGTTACCTTGTGCTTTTTGAAGGCCTGTAAAACGAGGTCTTTGCAATCCTTCTCCGTGGCACCGTAGTAGAAATCTGTCCGGCGAGAAAGAAAGCCAAAGAATGCATCAAGAAGACCACGCACTCCGTCTTCCGTGCTTTGAGCTATGCTTAGGAACAAATTGTCAAGATTCTCGGACATTATGGCTGAAAAGAAGCAAAATTAACTGGAAAATAATAATCTGGGGTGGTCACCGAATCCACACAGCTTTATTGCTTGAACGATAGGAGCAAAAAATAAGGTGTACAAAGTGAAATTATATTGTACATTTCAAGCTGGTACAATAACTGTTCAGCTAGTCGGTTTAAAGGTCTCTACGGTCTCAAGAACAAGACAGGCCAAATCCACCACAGAATGCGCCGCGATTCGCAACTTGCTCAGTTGTGTAGTGGGGTCCTGTGAAGATCCATGAGAGAATGGAGCGGAACATTCACAAACGAGGGTAGAACCTGAGACGGAAAAATGTTGATTCACTGAAGAACGTTTGGGTGGAGGATCGACGGATAAGGTACGACAAGCAACCTCAGCTAAGGTTTCACTGGGAAAGTCCAAATTGCAAACTATGCGATAGCCGGCTGCAGTGGACTCCGTTCTGCTAAGAATCATTCTTGAACCGTATCACTGGGATCTGGAGGAAGACTAAAAAGAAAGATAAGTATCAAAAGTTCAGTTAAAGAAAAGAAAAAACCTACGGGACTATACGTTTCGCTTCTTCAATTTCTCTCTCAATTTCTTTACGGACGTTCTCGCTCAAACGCTAGTCAAATTGGAAAGAAAACAGAGGTTTACGATCACATAAAATGGTAGCGGACAACTCACTTCTCGCTCCAGAGCCTGAGCGATATGAACGTAAGCAAAAGTGGAAACAGTGAACAGGCATGACAAACCCAAAGTAACCTTGGATGCAGTGGACATGTGGACTTCGGATGAACCTACGGCTGAAAATTGAAGAGTAGTGGACACTATAAGAGGAACTCCCATCTTCATCTACTGTCTTAGGTTTATTTATTTATTTGGTGGCATAAATGGATGAGTATATTTCGAAATGTAGCCAACATCCATGATTCCCACATATCGGTATATTATTGCCCTTGCTGTAAATAGCCCTAAATTTGAGGTAAAAATTACCGATGAACAAGAAAGCAGTAACTACCTGAACACCTGAAAACAGAAATTCTTCTCTAAGTGAACTCCATGGTTCCAAAGCTATGTTTAATGTATATGACTAATGAAACTATCACATGAATCAAAATGCGTTCACAAAATGAAATCAACCAAAACTGTCCTGAAAAGAAGTTCAAGAAATCTGGAAAAGAGAATTAGGCCATTCTTATTTAGACCAGGGAAAAGTACAATTTGTGTGAAGGAACACAGCCTGTTACAAATTTATGAACTGTTTAAGGGAACGCCGTGCTTTTGAAATCTGAAAGCGTAGAAGGATAACCTACGAACCCTATTGTAAATTTCATGAGAGCAAGAAGAAGCATCATGATCACAGGGTATGTTGAATTCAACTATTTCGTGGTAATCTCGTCAGCTGTGTTCGCCTGTCCCAAAACCTATCACTCTTTTAACCAAACGTGACCTGAATGCATGTACACAGCTGACGAGATTACCATGAAATAATTGAATTCAACACATTATGATGCTTCTTCTTGCTCTCATGAAACTGTTAAAGGGAAATGGTTGCATGAAAATTCCTATTGTAAATGTTTTCAAAATGCTTGGACCAAGAAAGGTTGTGACACATTAACATATTTGACAGAGTTAGCTTTGAGCATGAGAGCGTACAGCAGCCAAAACCGCTGCACAAAAGTGCATAGGTAATGGCTGTACGAACGTTTTTATTACACCGCTGTGTGATGAAAAGCAGACGGGGTGGGTCTCATAGTCATGAGGACCTGTTCTTCACTGATGGTAACCGGTGACCTAAGTCGCGGGACTTGGCGTGGTGAACCACATAAGACCCCGCTGAGTTAGGTGTGGTATTGAACCGTCAGCGAAGCTGCCTACCATCAAAGTTGGGTGGCGGTGGCCGGGTTCAAACCTCTAACCATAGGGTCAAAAGAACGCAGGTGACAGCGACTAATCCACTGTGCCAGCACCATCGAACTGAAAACTGAAACTTGGGGAGGATATTACCGTTAACAGTAAGACCAGGTTGGCTATTAAAGCGGTTTGATAATCACTGCGTGTTTCATGATTAAAAGGGACGTCTACATATTTATCGACGTTGGGAATCAAAGATCGAGGCGTAGGTTAACCAAAAATTTGATTTACAGTCCTGAAGTTGGCAGAAACCGTCAGGACCAGTCTAGGGCCAATTAACCACCCAGTCATCAGCATAATTACACGCAATAAAGTTGGGAAGGATGGGACGTTTCAAGTTTGACTCAAAGTTACTTGTGAGTAGCAGTGTGGGATAATTGGCCTTTAATAATTGGGGCTATCCTTCGGACTTCACCTTCACGCACAATCCTCAGTTCGTCGATTCAACCATACACTCAGAAGCACTAGACCCGAGTTTCGCTCTTATTAGAGCTCATCGGTAGTGCATATCCACTGTCCTGTCCGGGATTTGAACTCCGGACCCATCGCATGGAAGGTGTGTGCGTTACCACTGCGCCAACCAGCCATGGTTGAACCAAATTGCCAATTCATGTTTGTTCAGGAGTCTTCTTCAGTGATAGTCGGTTCAGAGTGGCCCGACAGCAACGAGGGGAGACAGATGACATACTGTTAACTCCAATCGAAAGCCTCCCACCAAGTCAGGACTTCCTTGCAGGTACGGACTGATTCACTAACGAATCTACAAGGCTGGATCGTTATTTCAAGTTTGGCTCACAGTTACTTGTGAGGATGGGATGGTTGCTTCCGTACAGTGAAAAAGGAACGGAAACAAAATAGCACTCTGAAAACCCGAAAGTTGAACTCCAACAAGGGTGAAGATTTATCAAAACAAAAAGTGAGTCGTGTCCTATGTGAACAGTAACTGATTAGTACATTCCACACATCAAGTGCCAGACGGCAATCCGAAGGACGTTGAATCAGAATGCCACGGCCAAGTATTGGCATTGGTGGTGGTGGTGATGCATCGGTTTAGTAGCTGCCACCGGCGTGGAACCTATGGTCCGAGGTTGGAGCCCCACCAACGACAACGCCACCCAACTTTGGTGGTAGGCAGATTTCGTGTCGTCCGGTTCAATACCAAGTCTAACCTTGTGATTCGCTACTCCAACTTCCGGGGCTTAGGTTACCGGTTTCCATCACCGAACAGGTCTTCGTAATCATGAGGTCTACCCCGTCTGCTGTTCACCGCACAAATGTGTGATAAAAAAAAAAACAATTTAAAAAGTCAAGATAAATTAAACGGAAGACCCTTTATCCAAGGAGGATGAAACGTAGTGAAAAACGTGAGCAAATGAATTAAGAATGGAAAGCGAAGGTTTGTAAGTAAATCGAATAGGGTTATGAGCAACAGATAAAAGGGTCAGCCCATTTAGAAGCAGTTTTTCAAAAACTCTCAATACTGCTGATGTGCAAAAAATTAGTCGGCGCTTGGAAAACACTTTTTGGAGGACGTGTTATCCGAGCAGCTCTCCAGCAATCATAGATACTTCCAGAAGACAAACTAACTGAACAACTTGGAAACAGGTTTAACAAATCGTTCGGCACAGACTTTAACTTTTCAAAGGGATGGGATAACTAATCAGTCTTGTGCCTTGTTGGATTGAAGGGACCTCAAACACTTCAAAACTTCTACCGGNAGGCGTAAATGAAGATGGTATTGGGTTCAGAACAGAAACATTTGCGAATAAACGGTTCAACTCATGAACATCCTAGAAAGAGCTATTTCGTGAGCCGCAGTGCTGCTTCTAGACAGACCACATCATGACAATACTTGTTTCCCATAGGAGTTTCAATATGCATCCGATTTGGGATCAACATTTTTATTTTGATTGAAAATCATAGATCGTTAAAAGTACTACACCTTCCAGTCTTGTAGACCTTTTCTTTATCAAAACGGAGCCGATTTAAAAAAGAAGGGAATATGTCGCTCCAAATATACAAAGTATCAACTGGGCAACGCAGATTGTGGTAAAAATTAAGATAACATGTGAGGTGTTCATGACTGGAAGAGTTCTCAGCATTCGAAAAGATGGTGAAGTCGATAGAATAAACCATTTTCGTAAGTCTAGCCAAGTTGTCAAGGGGACTAATTCTCCCTCTGGTGAGCCTAGAGGTGAAATGGGTCCTTCAATGATGAAATTTTGGCATGTAAAAACATTACAGCAATGGTTTGAGTAGCTCATGAAAGCCCGCTTTTCAATGAAAATAATCTTCAGGTGGTTTACAAAGATACCATCAAGTTGGACACTGAATAGGGCAGGAAAATTCACAAGATTTGTCATCTTTTAATACACTCTACCGTGTGAGAAACAGCAGACGGGGCGGACCTCATGGTCACGAAAACCTACCCTTCGATGATGGAAACCGGTGACCTTGGCACAGGACTTGGAGTAGCGAACAACATAAGGCCTCGCTAGGATATGCGTGGTATTGAACCGGACGACATCAAAGCAGCCAAAAATTGTCAGGCAAAGGATGTCAAAACGATTGAAATTACCCACCGTAATGCATAGAGCCTGATCTAAACCTGCTGCAAACATTCGGGTTACTGAATCTTTCGATGGGCCATAGCTCTTAATGCCTCTTCAGTTCTGCACCTTGACGTGGTGTGATGGTTTGCGTGCTTCCATGACCCTGCGAGCTATACAGGATGGCTTTTCACAGCCGCAGATCCAACCATGCCTGAAAGGTCAACGGGTAGAGACCAGATGAAGATCAGTCTCACAAAGCCAGCTGCTTGGGCACCTCCTCGCTTCCCTTGATTATCCACTCCAGCAAAAAGTACTAGGAGAGGCAGTTTACCGGAGAAAAACCCTGCTAGACGGACGTAGGAGCGGGATACTTGGGGCTTCCTCTCGACGGTGGGAGGAGTCTTCGCACTTCATTGAACAGCTACCGCCCGCCCAAGCGGGCAGTCCCAAGCCAATAAAGTGCTATCCCATCCACGTTCCGCTTGTCTTACTGGGTGCATGAGACTATGGGCTAATCCCGATAAGCGGACCGTCAACCAGCGCACCAGTGAACAAAACTGGACCGAAATTCAAAGACCTTGTGTGATAGGTCTCCAGAAGCTCCCACACGAGTACTTCGTTCACGCCCCCGCGTTGAATCTGCGCTTCACTGCCCTGTGGGTTGAACTTTTGAGTCAAAGGCTACGGTTAGGGTTCCCAAAGGAAAAACCCTTCGTCGGTGTAGGCAACCGCGAAGTATGCCGTGCCCCAAAGTCTTAGGTACCCATTTGGAAAACCATCTTTCTCAACTGTTCACTTCTTCTTCTCACTCCCAAACCTTAGGAGATGCATCCTGTTTGTACCACCCATCGGATATCACTCAGCGTTCAACTAATGAGGCCCAACCACTCAGAGGCTATCAGATCTTCGAAACCAAAACTTCCTTTTCACTTGGCCGCATTTAATGTCCGCACACTCTACCAGATCAGTCAACAACCTGCCTTTGCTAGAACTCTTCAGACCTTCCATTTGGATGTATGCTGTCTCCAAAATACGCATACAAGACCCTACTTTAATCATCTCCCTCCGTTCTCCAGATCCAACCTCATCCTCACGTTTCATTCTCTGTGTCAGGTGATTCGGCATCCGGTGTTGCTGTTGTTGGGATGGCGCTAAGTGCCAAGGCCAAGTGCTCGCTTCTCGACTGGGTCCCCGTTAACAGCCGACTTTGCGCCGTACGTCTAAATGGTTCAGTACGAGTTAACAGCTACAGAACGAAACGTCCATATTTATTCGTCGTATCCGCGTATGCACCGACAGATTGCAGTTCGCCAGAAGTGAAAGATGAATTCTACAAGGACCTCTCTCAACTGCTCCAAAGTGCTCGATCAATGGACGTCGTGGTAGTCGCTAGAGAATTCAATGCTCAATACCCGTCAAGAGTCTGAGGAATGACCGCGAGAAGTGGTGGGTAGGAAAGTGTAGAGAGATGGAGAAAGCTGCAGCTATCGGTAATAGTCGCAATCTTTTCCGATTCTTTAGGAGCACAGGTCCAGGGAAAGCAGGTGTGAGGTGATTAAAGAGTCTAACAGTACTTACTATTACTTACTTACTCATATTCCGCAACGCCGTCTAGATTGATGGGCAGAACATTGTAAGGCTCAGTTCAGCTGGCCCCCGTCAGCAGAAGACCTCCCTATACCCGGTTCAACTGTGCAAATACTGCCAGTTGATATCAGTCCTCCATCTGAAACGGAGGTTACCCGAGGAGTAAATCATCTAAAATGGCATAAGGCTTCCGGCCCAGACGGGCTATCCCCATCGGTTTTTAAGGATGCAGATTCAGCCTTGGTTTTGAATTTAACGAAACTCCCGGGTTTATAATGAGAAAGAAATTAGGAATACGGGCCCCAGGAAAATAGGCGTAAGTGAGGTAATTAAAGAATCCGATGGCACACTGATTCACGATCAGCAACGCCGTCTTGATCGACGGACTGAACACTTCGAGGCTCAGTTCAACTGGCCCCATCGACCTCTGAACAATCACTCTGCACCGCGACAGGGCAAATACTGACAGGCGATGCCAGTCCTCCATCTGAAATGGAGGTTACCCAGGAAATAAGCTAGCCCAAACGGCATAAGGCTTCCGGCCCAAACGGGCTGTCTCCATCGGTATTTTTTCATCCTTGGTTTTGGAGTTAAGAAAACTCCTGGGCTCAGTGTGGGAGAGGGAACAGATTCCAGCTGAATGGTGTGAATCGGTCATCATACCGATTTAAAAGAAAGGTGACAGATCCTCTTGTGAAAACCAAAAAGAAATTAATTTAATTAACATGGCTTCTTAACTTCTCGCTAGGATCATACTCCGTCGGTTGTCCGCCGCACGTGAAGAGTGCACACGTGAGAACCACGCTAGTTTTAGACCTGGTAGAGATTGTATCGACATCTTCACTCTTCGCCAAACTCTAGAGCACTGGCATTCTTTTCGCAGACCCACCACCTGTCTTTCTCGATCTGAAAGCGATCTTCGACCCAGTCGACCAGTCGACCGCTCTAAAATCTGGTGCTCCCTTTCCCTGAAGGGTGTGCCCGATAAGTGTATCTCAATATTACGATCCCTCCATACTCTTAGCCGAAGCCGAGTCCGAGCTTAAAGCACGTTTTCACCCGACTTCACTGCGGATACTGGTGTTTCTATTTAACTCCGTTATATATTTGATTATGGAGACAGCCCTATCCTCGTGCGACGATAGTGGCATCGATTCATTCCCAGGTGGCAGACCGTCTGATCTAGAGGATGCAGACGACATTGTGCTACCAAGAGAAGATCCAGGTAAGTTGCAAGCTTTATTGAACAGCTTGAATGCTAGTGTAGCCATGTTTAGTATGCGTTCTGTAAAATGCTACTACAAGACTGAGTTTGTCCAGCACCCAGCCTCACTCTAACTGGGGAAGTAATAGAGAAAGTGGATAAGTTCTGTTATCTGGGCAGCTATATTTCACCCGGTGGCGCATCACGGATGAAGTGTCAGCTCGCATACAGAAGGCTCAGTCGGCATTTGTCAATTTGAGACATCTGTGGCGCCGTCGCGACATCTGTCTGTGAAGGGTCGAATGTATGCTGTAAGCGAATTTTGATGGGGATCCAATCGAACAGTTACGCTTCGGCTCTAATATTAAGTACAATGCCTACCCACGCTGACCTACTGAACGGGCTTCGTCGTTATCTTTTGTGCGGAGGAAGTACCTCGAAGACAAATCCGGTGCACCCAAGCGGCCTATAATACTAGCTAGGATCCTGGATTCGGGTCTCCGACAGGCATTAGATATCAACCCCCAAATGGTACGAGCCAGACAAGCTTGTCGGCCCACCTACGTCAGAGCCCTCAAGCGGAAGACCCCCAGATTTAGTGATTGACAAGGCTTCAGAATGTTGTCTGATGGAATATTACGGGTCGGAAGAAGGAGCTAAGGGAGAGGGCTGGGTATAGAAGACAGTGTTGTGTGGGGTGGTGGCGCAGTGGTTTAGTCGCTGTCACTGGCGTGCTTTAGACCCCATGGTCCGAGGTTCGAACCCCGCCACTGCCACCCGACTTTGGTGGTAGGCAGCTCTGCTGTCGTCCGGTTCAATACCACACCCAACCTATCGGGGCCTTATGTGGTTTACCACTCCAGGTCCCGTGGCTTAGGTTACCGGTTCCCATCAATGAACAACAGATCCTCGTGATTATGGGATTCCACCCCGTCTGCTGTTCATCACACGAAAGTGTGTAATAAAAAAGTGTGAAACAAGGATTGGGATATCTGAGCAGTTGCCCGCTTATCACTACCCCTCCATTCTATGAAATGAGCAGTGTGATCCTTATAATCCTGTGCGACGACAGTGTGGGATTATTTATGGTTTATGTATACATTTTACTGACCTAGACGCTAACTCCAGTCTAACCCCCAACCTGGAGGATCATCAGACTGAACTTCGTTTGATCTCTGTTCTCTGATGTTCTCGGCAAGATAAGATCTCCTTGTTTGATAAATGCCACCTTGTGTAGCTCGTTGGGCCATAGAGGTGAGCAAGTCATCACACCAAGTCTATTTGCAGTGTCTTCGTGACGGTCCCTGTCCACTGTTCATCACTTTTGTGTCACATTGTGTGCTAGGTTATTGTAAGCGGCATACAGCGTGCGTTCTTCCGTCGGGGTGGTGCTTGTGTTCACCTAATAGTGTGTGCATAGGGTGAATGATACTGTGCCACGACAAAAACCCGGCTCGACAAAAACTGTCACCAGTTAGGAGTGGGGATTTAGCTCATCCTCACTCATTCAGAAGTGTATCTGAGAGAAAGGTTCGTAAACATAAAAAAGAGCCTGTCGTTGTAAACCCAATGTTACTGTGAACAATAGCCACATCAGAGCAATATACGTTTTATTCGATTATCAACCAACAAACATCAGCACGCAACCAAACACACCGGGAGAAACTGTACTCATCGCGAACGCATTGAGAGGGGGGGCAAAGTTAACTGATGTTAATTGAATTTACATTTGGAAAAGTCCATTTCTGGATGTGCAGCCATGAATTTTTTCAACATTTCTTGCTTCTTCTGATCCTCCGAGGTGGGTAGACCCATCTCACGCTGACGTTGATCGTACATCATTTTCTCCACCATTGAACGTGTCTCCCCGTCCAGATCGGACAGTTTGGAATTTTCTGGCTGCACTTTACGAGTGTTGATTTCTGGTTCCCCGTCACAAATCCGAGACCACCACTCCATTTTGTTGATCTTTTCCAAACTAATACATATGGTTAGCCCATCTTCCAACATCCAGGAGCATTCCTCTACCTGGGAAATAAAGTTCGTGTGAAGAAAAAAACAACTCAAAACAAAAAAGCTCTACAAAAATGGGTTAAAAGACGATCAGTATAACCATAGCTAACAAAATCATTATACGCTACAATAGTATTAATAATGATGATAACAATAATAATTTACAAGCACTGTTCTAGGAGATACGGTATCCTGTTAACTACCAGAATACAGATTTAATCATAATTTAAAATTTCCCCTGGTTTCACGGAATCCAATGTACAACTGTCTCACAAGATTAAAAAGTGACAAGATTCGAACAAGCAAATGCACTTAGTTAACCTCATAACTGATCAATTCACGAACTATGACAAAATGGGTGGCTGAGTTAACCGGATGAACTGTTCGGAGCCATCTTCACGTGCAACCCTCGATTTATCCAGTTAACTACACGATCGAAAAGCACTAAATCTGAATACCGGTTTCGCTAAAGCTTACCTGTAGTACACACCCAAAGTACAATCGGGGGTTTGAACTCCGATGCACTGGCATTGAGAGCGCATGTTATCATTGGGCTAAGCAGCATACACAAACACAGACAAACAAACAAACAAACGGACAGATAGACAAACAGCGGTTGAC